CAGATAAGCCTAAAGTATATTAGCAAGCTAAAATATCTGATTTAAGTCTACCCAACAAAACCTTGTCCCAACAGAATCATATCTAAATATGAATTGTAATTTATTCTTCTCCCACCATAGAAGAGCACGAGTTCATTATCAATCTCAGTTAAGTCTTCAGCATCAAACACTCGTACACAGAGGTCAGAGGGATATTTAGGAACTGGACAGCTCATTCGTTGCCTCTTTGTGATTAGGTTTGCATCGGTCATTTTTACTCTCAAGTTTTAGTTGTTTACGAAAAGAAACAAGAAAAATTATAATGATTCCATAACAAGTAGACAATGACACTGTATGAGAGTGGAATGGATGTTAGCAAAATAAACTCACCAACTAGCCAATTGAACAAGGAATAAATTACATCATAAGCTGATAGATGTCATGCTAAGGTATCAAGAAGTTGAGAACTATAATGATTGGGCATAGTTAAAAATTGAATAATTGTATGTTAGGATTAAGAAAAACAAGGATAAGAAAAAGAGACGAAGAACGAGAGTATGAAAAAATATTGGGTGTAGGGTGTATGTTGCCAATGCCCTATCACCTATTTAAATTTGATTGAGATTGAAAACAATTACAATATTAAGAAACTAAAACATAATAGGAAAACCACATAATAGAAAAGTAGAACTATAGGAATTGACATAATAGGAAAGTAACATGATAGGAAACTAGAACAATAGAAAAGTAACACTCTTTAACACTTCCCCAAAAGCTGGAGCTTAGAGATAAAAAATGTCCAACTTAGAATAAAGGCTAGTAAAGGTAAATTGCACTAATGGTTTGGTGAAAAAGTCACTGAGTTCATCACAATATCTTCACGTAAGCAATAAGGATAGTAAAACCAAGTTCTGGTGATTGCTTTAAACCATTCAAGGTCCTCTTTAATTGGCCCACACTACTACAACACTCCACCTGAACAACAAATACAGGTGGGTTGTTCCATGTAAAGTCTAAGACTTTTTTTGGTTTTCTAGAGAAACAATTAACGATCACACCAAAACAAACAATAGCAAACGACAATCACGATAACACAAAGGAAAAGAATACGGTGTTGGCAAAGGACAAACGTAACACCACCAACAAAATCGACACAATCCAACACAAAAACATCGGCACAATGCAACACTACAACGAACAACACGTAAGAACTAATTAAACTGCAACAATAAAAAATAAAGTAAACCAAGCAGAACCAGAGTTGAATTAGGAAAAAAAAGGTATGAAACAGTTTGAAAACAACAAAACGAATATTTGAATCAAGATGAAAACTCCAAAATTGACACTGAACAGGGCCAAAAACACTTAGCTAGAACTGAACCGAGATGAAAACCATTAAACCAACACCAAACTGTGTTAAACCGGGATTAAACTAGGATTAAAACTAATAAACCATCACCAAACTATGTCGTAAACCACTGAATCGACACTAAAATAGGTTGAAAACATTGAATCAAAACTAAACTGGAGTGAAAACCACTAAACCAGCACCAAACTCTACCAAAAACCGCTGAACTGGTACTAAACCTGGTTAAAAACACTGAACCAGAATTAATCAGGATGAAAACCACCAAATAAGTACCAGACTGACATAAAAACTACTAAATCGACACTAAAAATACTAAATTGGAATTGAATCGGGATGAAAATCACTAAACCACAACCAAATTGGCCCAAATATAAATGAACTGACACTAAATAGGGTTGAAAACACTAAAATCTGGACTGATGATCAGAGATAGGAACACTGCAACTTAGAGTGATTTCGACTATGACAACAATTAGTGAACACACAGACGACTACAACTTAATGTGTGCTGGGTCATCCCAACCACTAGATGAGTGAGGCTCTCGCTTAGGGCTCGGGCACTTCACCCAAGTATCTTGGTCTAATACTAAGTTGAAACTTGAATAATTGTATGTTAGGGTTAAAGAAAAGAAAGATAACAAAAGAGAGGAAGAAAGCAAATATGAAACTATAGCGCATAGAGTGTATATTATCAACATTTTATCACCTATTTATATTATACTAGTAGTTGTGCACTTACGTTGCACCTGAACTATTTTGAAGTATAATTTTAGTTTTTATCTTTTATTTTTCATGTCATGATCAACATGTAATAATGCATTGGTCATATTATCATTGATTTGTTAAGTACAAGTAGTAAGAGATTGTGGATGTTTACCACTGGCCCTAGAAAGCGGTTGTCATATCCCTCTACCACAAGCTTGAGGTGAAGTGGAGGGTGTACAGGAAGATCAATCTAGTAATTAAACACTAACATAATGCAACATGAACTTGTTTAATAGGAAGGCACCTGGTGATATATCATTTCATTAGCATAATATTTCTGTAAATTTATTATACTCTAATAATATCATTATTCTTACTTTTAACATTCGTGGAGTTATGCAATATGTCACCATGAGCACTGGTCCTCTCATTAAGACTTTGCTAGGTGTAGTTCAACTGCACAATCATTTCTATTTTCCTATTAGACTTTTAGAGTAAATTATATTTGACCTATATGTAGTTTTTGATGACATTCTACCTTCTTATAATTTGAAAATGGACACACAATTCCTGTGGTTTAGGATCAATTTATAGATTATTTCTTGTGTTTGTAAAGAAAGAGGACCCTCATAGTGAAACATCATGGATCCTAGTATTCCTAACGAACGTTATGAGGATGAATACATAAGAGCTTTTGAGGAGAACATCCGACACCAACATGATAGCGGTTGCCTCATAGTGACTATAACCTTCACGTGCGGCCAAATTCACCATGCCTGGTGGCTACGTCCGTTATTTCGTTATTTTTGCTGGATACATCTAGGAAATCTGAAATACTTGAGAAACCACAAATGAGGAATAAAAAAGGTCCACCGCACTAAATCTTTATAGGCTAACAACAAGGCTTGAGAAGCCACTAGTTGGACAAACCCTAACAGGAACATTCAAATGGAAGTTGTGATTAACAGTTTGAACATCTAAGTATTAAGAGAACCTTAAATTAAATATTTGAAAATTTTCATGTTTCAAATGCCAAAGGTTAAAGAATGGTAGAATATAAAAGACCAAAAATTCTTCATCTTCCAGTAAGTAACTAATGATGTATTCATTACAGAATGAACTTTCATGTTGCAATTGCTAATGGTTAAAGAAAGCCAGAATACAAAAGAACATAAAATTTTAATCTTCCAATAAGTTACTAATGATGGATTTATTTTAGAATGAATGTTTAATTTAAGGAATCTGTAGTGGATCTAAGTCCATCTAATAACTGAGTTTATAGTTCAATGCATGTGGAACATTTTTGTTGCTAGCTATTAGATCAAGGTTAAAAATGACTTTATAGCATTAATCAAGGATAAAAATGGTATTCAAAATTTTTAGAACTTAGAAGTAGTGTAAATAGATTGATATTGAAGACAACTACAATATTAAGTAAGTAGAACATAATAGGAAAACCATACAATAAGAAAGTAGAACAACAGGAAGTAACATTCTAACTAACAAAAATCAACAAAGCAACAAAGCGCAACACTATTCTACTAGCGGGATAAAATGTTACACTATGGTAAATAAGAGGTAAGCATTTAATGCTGTCTCTAGGATGGCAAGCTAAGCTAGAGCAATAAAGTTTGAGAGGAAAAACAATCATATCACATGAAATCTCGAATAAAGAGTGCCCGTGGGATCATAATTCCATTCCCAATCATGGCAAGCAACATTGAGATAGCCGATAAACCTTTGATGTTATTTGGATTCAAGAAATTTGTCCATTGGAAAGTAAGCATGAATTGTGATGAGAAAACCTATGCCAAAACAACATAAGAAAATTTAGATTTTTAATCCCAAAAACACGGTATAGATTATCATTTGTGCAACAGGCATCCACATAAAGAGAAGTGTGGCAGTCCATCCAGATATTGATCCAACAAATTTGATGCCTTTTTCTAAGAGTTTGCCCAATCAAGCTTGCAAATATTAGCAGATTCAAACCTCAGGAAAGCAAAATCTGAAGCCTTTATTGGATTGTCCAAATCAACAAATAACAAACACTCAACTCTAAGGAAATATGTCTTATATGATCTAAATTAATAGGAGGCTGTCATATTTCCACAATGATAGTGTCGGGAAGACGGTTCCCACCAAATTGGAATTTTTTTTGGTGCCGATGACTATGAGTATTTGGGGTGTCAATTGAATCATGTAGTGTCAAATGCAGGTTGTGTCATCTATGTATTAATAAAAAAAATCATTTAATTCTAAAATTATTCAAAAAAATATAAGATAAAGAATTGAAAAAAAATCATATAGTTTCTTTTTTCAATTTCACTTAACGGGTTATTTGTGTCTAACACTGACTTGACTAATTTTCCTATTTATATGTGTTGGTAGTCATGCCTATTTTGATATGGAATACTAGCGCCCCTAATAAATGAGATAGAACTTGGACTTCATCCAACTACTTTTCCATGTGAAAGGCAATTCCAAGCCAGTCATTGCAATAGATGGCCTTCGCAACTATCATTCAGAGATTTATATACTGATTCTTGGTATACTAAATCATGATAAGCAAAGGATTCTTAACAAGTAGATGGTCATCAGCAAGAGATGCTCATGAAACAATCAATAGCAAGAAGGCCCCATTGGAGCCTGTTTCTCACCAAGTGGTACCAGTAGATGGGAATTTTTTATATCAGCTAATACACACAGACTCATGTCTGAACAAGAACTTAAACCCTATTCTCTCCCTCATTCCTTGTTGTGCAATAACAGAATTGAAATCTGGCATCCACTCATTCCATAATTATTTCCGGCAAAACAATGTATTCACACTAAACTCCTCCTAAAAGTCACTCATTTTTTCTAGCTTTGGAAAACTTAACTCTACAGTCAACCATGACTTCCTCAGGTTCATGCAAGGTGATGACAGATGGGAATACGCCTTTGAATACAACCTAATACAACGCTGAACAACTCAAAAGCCACCATGGTCCATCACTTGATTTAGTTTCACATTGATGATCCTGTTGGTCACATAAATCGCAGACGAAAACAATCCCTTCAAGTTTGAATAAACTTTTTCCCCATCTTTATAATGACTTTTCTGTTGTCTCGCATTATTTGTTTGGCAATCTTTACACCTCCAAATAGAACTTCGGATACAGCGGAAAACCACAATGAATATAACGTTTACCATAATAACAGCCACAACAACTATGATGAAAGCCATCACCACTGGCAAGATACTGTTTTGAATATACGGGACAAATGTTGACCACATGACTTGAGTGGCAATTCATAAGTAAAGAAAGCTCAGGACAAAGAAAAATTAATGAAGATGGATAAAGTTTGGTACTTTGCATGCAAATAGGGAGGGTGTGTGTGTAAGAGAGAGAGAGAGAGAGAACTTGGGGAAGTGCAGAGAGCCCAGCAATGGTAATGAATCTTCCCAAAAACGCCAGATTCCCGGATTGAGCAACTCAAAGTAATACAAAAAATTTAAAACGAGACCAGAAGCAACCACAAAAGAAGTGATGACAAAATGAGGGAGAGGCATCGCTCCGGCCATAGCCAGCTGAGCAATCACCACATATGGATACAACTCCTAATGTCTGGACCACCACCACCTCCGTTTCCCTCTTATTTGCAAAGTATGATAGCAACGAAAGATTCCCAAGCAACCCAGTGAACATTCCCTGCATTTATAATGATTTTATACCATTACCATGAAAAGAAGTAGACATATAGAGTGCTTAATTCCAATATGGAATAGTTTTTTTCGATGAGAACTTGCAATGCAATACCAGCCATGGAACTGCCAAGAGTGCGGACTTGTTTCCTGCCATAAGATTACGAGTATTGAGTATGATCTGGGGCAGTTGCAGCAATAGAAATGGTAAATTTGAAGCTCCCACAAATTTAGCAGTCAACCAATCCCATTGCTCGAAACTGTTACTTTTCTTCAACTTATCTGATGTCTTTTTTTCAGGCATTTTTTTTATCAAAATCGTCATCAACAGCAAAAAAAAAAGAAAGAAAGAAAGAAAATACAAAACAAAACAAATCTTTAGCAATTTATATTTTTCTTGAATTTGGGAAAGAAGAGGGGAAAGAGAAGCAACTAAGCAGCGATTTGGAATGGTGAGGGTGATGTGCATAATAATACCTGGTGAGTGGGGCATCGGAGTCAAGAGCAGGAGCAGGAGCAGGATAAGGTTTGAGTGGATAATGAGCGAGTGATGGGCGAATTGAGGGGCCAAAGAAGAACAGGTCATTAGATTTGTTGTTGAGAGTGAGAGTAGTGGTAATAGGGGCGGGAGCGGGAGCGGGAGCGGGAAAAACACAAGGCAATTAAGTGGTGTTGATGAGAAGAGAAATGGTAGGAATTGGAAGGTGGAGAAGGGCGTAGAGGTAAGGGTAGCAAAGAACACGCCATCATCCCCTCTGAAAAATCAAAAGGCAAACAATTCATCATATTTCTAATACATAAACAATTCACCAAACCTTAACCATGATTATTAAGTACCAGTACATCATCATCGATACACAAAAAAAAAAAAAAAAAAAATCAAACACAATCTAACCTGAGAATAGTGTAGGTAAACTCAATAATAAAAGCACAAAAGATTATCCGGAAATCAAGAGTGACAAACCACAAAATATTGAATTTACTTTAGGACTACCATTTACAGAGCTAAAAGGTAGTGGCGCTTAGAGGCAATCAACCGAGTAAGTGGAGATTCAGTCTTCTCTCTCCCTCTCCCTCTCCCCCTCCCCCCTCCCCCCACTAACGTTCTTTCTCTCTCTAGAGAAAGAGAAATAATACATAGGCTTAAAAATTAATAGACTTAAAAATAAAACGTAATAATTACGATCATTGATTTCACTGTGAGACACAATATTTATTGAGATTCACTATCTATTCAATGGTTGAGATTATCAAGTTTAGTTTTTAAGTATACTTTTAAATCTACCTAGCATTACTTGTGAAAAAAAAAAAATAATATTACGTGGATTTAAAAAGTAAACTTAAAAACTAAACGTGATAACTACGACTATTGATTTTACTGTGAGTTCTAACATTTATTAAGACTCACTACCTATTCAATAGTTGAGATTATTAAATTTAATTTTTAAATTTAGATTTTAGAGCAATGTTATATAACCAAATTTACAACTCAAATGTGAAGCTCAAATCAATAAAGACCATTGGATCAGTAGTTCTCATTTAAAAAAGTTGATAGGACTCACTCATTCAATGGTCCTTGTTGATTTGCGATGTAAATTTAAGTTACATAGTATTTTCTTATATTTTAATTTCATCTAATATTATTCGTAAAGAAAAAATAATTTAAAAACTTTACACGATAATTACTTGAAATGCTAGTTGTGTTTTGGTAGTAGTTAAGAGAAAGGCAACTTTAGATTGAAGCAAAGGGGAACCAAAATAAGAAAAAGAAACAGCGTAGATTGGGCGGTGTCAGACGATCGAATCTAGAAAGAAAACGTGGCGCGTTTAAATTGATTTGAACAGATTTTGGGGAACATTGGCACGGGAATATGTGATGTGCTGTAATGTGTTTCGGGATCTGAGATATTTAATGTTAGCAGTTAGCAGCTGCAAGTACGAGTAATAGTACACCATGCTACTGTTAGCAGTAGTAGTAGTGGTGGCACAATCATATCACATGTACACCATGTGCTCGCTTCTTCTTTAAGCCTACCCAGACGCCGCCAGATGAGGTGACCGGTCCAAGTATGGGTACAATTTGGTCGGTCTAACCCGAACACAATCCAAACAATTAATGTTTTTGTTGAGTTTTTTTAACATTTGAGTTAAATTTGAACTTAAATTTTTTAATTTAAATTAAATTTGAGTTGGGCAAAGGTTAAAATTTCGGATTCATAATTTTAACTCGAACACGGACTGAATTACTAAAAATCAAGTTCAACTCGAGTTCGTATTTAAGAATTAAAAAATTATGTATTTATATATATATATATATATATATATATATATATATGTTGCTCACACTCGTCAAGAACCTTTCATAGCACTAGAGTGAGTGCAAACTCCCTTATTCAACCGATGTGTGGTGTTGATGTAGTGTTGAACAAAGAAAAAAAACCGATGTGTAGTGTTGATGTAGTGTTGAACAAAGAAAAAAAGATGTCTAAATTAGAATCTCACATCAACTGCAAACAAAAAAGATATATCTCCTCTTGTATATAAAGAAAGCAAACTCCATGTGACTTGTGTCTTTAATGTGCTTGGTTTTCATTTGGGCTTATGTGAGTTTAATAAAAGAGTTAAAAGGTATTTACATTTAAAAATCCGAATTTAACCAAAAAATTGAACCCAATTTAATAACTTGGGCTCAACCAAAATTCAACTCAAGCCTGAGTGGGTAACACTTGGGTTGAGATCAAATTTGAGTTGAGTTCAAGTTAAAAGCTTTATAACTTGGGTTGGACCTCTTAACCCCCCCCCCTCCCCCCCAAATTACAATCCTAGGCCCAAGTGGGCTAAATTCCCACCAACTCCAAACCATCCTCATCCAATCATTATCTCTAATCTAGTGTAGTTAGCATTTTGAATTTATTTAATACATTGGTTAAGTTATTATGGTTAAAATTTTAAAATTTAAATGATTTATTGTGATTAAAGGTTAAAATATAGATTGAGTTACTATAGTTAAAAAGTTAAAATTTAAATGAGTTATTGTGGTCAAAAAATTAAAATACAGATTGAGTTACAATGATTAAATAAATTATTGTGATTAAAATGTTAAAAACTAAAATTTAAATAAGTTACTATGACTAAAGTTAATTAGTTATAGTGTTAAAAGGCTAAAATATGATACAAATTGTCAAATCTAAACGATTTGAACTGTTATTGTACTTTTTAAAGTAAACACCTTAAGCAGCTCACGTAGGATATCATGTTTTATTATATGGATATACTAGCAATAATCTCGTATATGAAAATACTATGCAATTTAAAAAATCGAACATTAATTTTATAATATTTATATTTTAACTAGCAATTTAATTTTTTTAACTAACGCAAAAAAGAGAGGTATGCATGGATTAATGAGATTATTTGATATTATAGAATGTGTTGATTGAGTTATTTAGCATTAGAGGTCATACAAATAAAATAATATTTTTGAGCGGGAAAATTTTTTTTGAAAAAATTTTGTACTATTAGATTAAAGTATTGAAGATTGGATTAATCTTGATTGTTATTGTGCTTTTATAAATTAGAAATTCAACTTTTTAACTATAATACATATACACACACACATACAATTTACGAATATAAAAGAAAATTAAGCCAAACTCCAGAGGTAAAACAGAGAGGTCCAGTTAGAGTTTAAGGATATAAGAGGTAATCAACTTTTTGGATTCATGCGCTATGATCCAATAATTATATTGCAAATAATAGTTGGTATACACCTTAGCCATCCATTGAATCCAATTATTGTTGGTGGAAGATATGCTTTTTTAAGACATCAACACTTCACTGTTTCATCTCCAAAGTGGTGTTTATGGGTTGAGTTGTGCATTTCGTTTCATCCCATTGCTATTGTTGACTCCACTCCATGTCAAGAGTAACACCATCAGTAGAAGATATTGACAAATAATTGTGGGGTCAAATTTTTGGTATAAATGTGGCAACTAAATTTAAAGTAGATAAAAATAGGATACGAAGCAACAATCGTATCAAGATGTGACACATGAACATAAATAATATTACACCTAGGGAATGCATGGTCTCGAGGAAATAGGCTCCTTGGGGCATGGAAAAGTAGGTGATTCCATTAGCATTTAATGTTTGGCAGGTATGTGGGACCCTGTGATGCGAGTATGCAACATATCGCAAAAAATGATTACTTACACAGACACGTCACAACAGAATCATACGTCAAATATCAAAAAAATCTAATAAAGGCATAACCCTTATTTATGTAGACTGCTTAGGGCATCTATATTTAATACTAGAAGCCAGTCCATTGAATGTTTGACGTGACTTTTTGAATGTCCGACAAAGATCATTAAATATTGAGGGGACGTACATTAAATGCTCAGTTTCTCGAGCAAGATAATTATTATGAAGTTAGGTCTTAAGAAGCCGTCAGCCTTCACCAAGTCTAATAATTGTACGATTCGAGAGTAGAGTAGCTATTGATTGATTGCCCCTAAAGGGGCACTACTAGCCATCTTGATGGGACCCACAAGTGTCATGTCATCACCCTTGAAACTATAAGTAGCCCACAAAATTGGATTTTAATACCTAACCAAGACCATCCCAACATAGTTGAACTTGATCCTCTCTTTGAGCATCTACTAACTTAGGAATCGAAAGGAATATGCCTCAGGCCTCTTTCTAACCCAGTTCTGTGTTTGCAGGATTCTCAGGGTAGCCTGATCCTGGTGCCTCTATCTTAAATTATTATGCAGAAAAACACTCATGCAATTTGGTGCCATCTGTAGGAATTACCGAACCAAGTCTTTTCCTGTAGTTGACACCATGGTGTATACATACTGTCAAGGAAATGAGGAGGATAACCCTCGTGCAAGGAACATTAATAGCAACCATCTTTCTGCTCTGTCTGCCTCCAATTCCCTAGAGTAGTTAAAAGGGATTCATTGGAAACCCTAGTCGAACTCGTAGGATACGGACCCTACGCTCGGTGGGCAGGGGGAAGGACTCCTTGCCCACAAGTTAATCGAACTGATAGAAGAATGATTGGGTGGCCAACTAAAGAAGATAGAAAAGGACAATGCCAACGTCATCAATCTGCTCAAAGAATTTGAGCTCTCGACCGGAACATCCCTGGCCGTAAGCAGCCTTATGAGGGGAGAGACTAGTCAGAGCACACAAGACCTCCCCCAAGGAGATTTTCCTCACCGCTTGGGGCAGAAGGCTGCAGAATCCCACGCCTCCAAACAGGAATGTCCCTTAGGGGGCAATCCCGCTGGAAGAGAGAAAAGGGCAAAACTCTTACTCGACGAGGATCTTTGTTATCGACTGTCGTGAAAGGAAGGAGTGGAGGCATCTGATGAAGGGTCTATCCTCTTAGTTAAGGACATAGAGGTCCACAAATCCCCAAAAGCTTCGGTCTACTCCAAATAAAATAAGGAGGACCTTGATTCTAATCTTACCTATCGACTACAAGGGCATTTTCATGACAAGAAATGACATTAAAGATGACATCGTGAAGTCCTTGTTTGATCAAAGCATTGGGAGCTAGAGATGCTAAGAAAATTCATCATGCCCCCAATTCAAAACCTATGACAGAAGGATGGATCCCGAGGGGCACCTCCACCAGTATAAACAAATCATGTCCCTCTATGATATAAACCACTGCTATGCCAAGTCTTCCCATTGACCCTTGAAGAAACTACTATGAAATGGTACGAGAGTTTATTGCTCGAGAGCATAATCTCCTAGAAGTAGATGATTGAATTGTTCTTGGCTCAATTCATCACTAGGAGTAAGAGACGAAAGACGTCGGTGCTCTTCTTGTGATGCGGTGAAAGGAATAAGAGACTCTCCGATAGTATGCAGTGTGGTATTGGGAGGTGGTCAATGAAGAAGGTTGCACGGAGACAATGACAACTGCCACATTTAGGCTCAGGATCTCTTGAGAAATGGACTTGTATCGGTCACTAACCAATAGAACTCCAACTGACAAGGGGGACTTTATGGCTCGTATCGATGAATACTCCAAGGTCAAATATGAAGCGGCTGGGTTCCGAGGCAAGAATGTTGCAACAAAGAAGAAAGAGAATGACCCCCTGACTAAGTAAGGAGGTTCATCTCAGATTCTCACCCAAATATCTTTCAAAGAGGTTCGCACAGTCTTCAAGGAGTCGATCTACAAGATGTTCCACAAGATAAAGGAAGGAGCCTTTTTTCAAATAACCTCCGAAGATGCAGGATGTCCATCAACTTGGAGCTCAACTGCTTGGTGCTCCTATCACTGGGATACTGGGCACTTCACCGAGGATTGTTGAGTGTACAAGACATTTCTCTAGAGCTGGTTCAAGAAGAGCATCTGCAAGAGTTCATTGACGATGGCAAAGCCTAGTAAGGCGAGAAACACTCTGGATGGTCGTTGAGGAGGTAACCAAAATCATCACGGTAAACCATTCGTGCCCACATGAATGGTCGACCACAAATTCATTGAGATTTGACCTGTAGAAAGTCCCTCAAGCCATGAGGGTGGAGGAAGGAAAGGTCGAGCTTTCCCCTGCCAAGAAAGCCCTGGAACAGTCCAAACTCCATCTAGTTCAGCGATGCCGACATGACTAGTATCTTTTTAGTCCACGAGGACATTCTCATCATCACACTCGGAATAGAGAAGATTGACATAAGATGCATTTTGTAGACTCAAGTAGCTTATCAAAGAACATGTACTTGGACTTTTTTTAGTAAATGAGATACAATCCCAAAGACTTGAAGCCTGTGTAGACTCCCATGGCCAGGTTCAACAATTCATACGCTCTGCCACTCTAGAGGATCTCCCTCTCAATTATGTCTGGGCCATCACACTCCTAGTGGAGTTTGTTATGATTCATTCTGACTCTTTTTACAATGAAATCATGGGAAGGACTTGGCTACATACCTTAAAGGCAATGCACTCGTCCTACCATTATAAGATCAAATTCCCAAACACTCAAAGGATTATAGAGATAGGAAAAAACTAGGCCATCTCAAAGAGTTGTTTTTATGTCGCCGTTAAGACTAGGGCAAATACAAAGGGAAATGAACATCAGTTGGAGGCGGTCGTGTCTAAATAGCAATCCGTTCTAATGGTCCACAGAAGAGCTCACCACGGTCTACCTCCACCTAAGTGACAAAGAAAGTTTTTTTCTCATCGACTCCTCCCTGATGGGAACCAAACAGGAGGAGATGGTTGGCTTCCATCGGATCAACGCTGATGTTTTTGCTTGGATTCCCAACATGATACGGAGATTAGGCCCCAAAATCATTTACCACTAGTTGTATCTACATCGTGTACAAGCCCATCAAATAGAAGCCTCGGTGGTCGGTACCTCACCATGTACAAGTCGTCAACAAAGAAGTAGATCGGTTGCTAGAAGGGAATTCCATCAGGGAAGTGCAATTCCCGAAGTGGTTATCTAACATCACTTGCATCAAGAAGAAGTATGGGAAATGGCATGTCTATGTGGACTTCACTGACTTCAACAAGGCCTACCCCAAAAAAGATTATTACCCTTTGCCTAAGGTGGATTAATTGGTGGATGCAACTGCAAGGCATAAGCGATGAAACTTCATAGATGCTCAGGTGGGTTAACATCAGAACCCATTACATGAGGTCAATCAGGAAAAAAATGCCTTTATAACTCATAGGGGGTTTATTATAAGGTCATGTCATTCAGATTGAAGAATACATAGGCCACATACCAACGACTAATGAACAAGATGCTCAAGCATGTCACCATGGAGATCTATATTGATGATATGCTTGTAAAGAGCCGAGATAGAGAGGATCATATAAGAGACCTAGTTAAGACTTTCTAGGTACTTCGACATTACGGCTTGAAACTCAATGCATTAAAGTGCTCATTTGGTAAAAGCTCCGACAAATGCCTTGGCACCTAGTGACACACTGAGGAATAGAAGATAATCCTTAGCAAATACAAGTCCTTCTGGACATATAGAGTCCTCAGATCATAAAGAGTATCCAAAAAGTTTATCGAGATGCTGGAAGCACTAAACCGCTTCGTCTCCATGGCCTCGAATAGATTCAACCCTTCTTTTAGATATATGAGATGACGACTATGAATTGGCTGTGCAGGAAATCAAGTCAAATTTAGAGGCCTCCCCTACCCTCTCGGTTTCTAAGCCTGCGGAGGTCCTTTACCTATACTTGGCTATTTTTGAGTACACGGTTAATGGAGCATTGGTTAGGGAACATGATTCCGAACAAAGGCCAATTTTCTATATCATCAAAACCCTCATAGACGCTGAGACAAAGTACATCTCCATGAAAAAGGTGACCTCGACTAAGAAACTAAGGCACTATTTCCAAGGACACTCTATCGTGGTCCTTATTGATCAACTGTTGAAAGCCATCCTCCAAAAGGTGGACTTGTCTTTGGGAGTAGCTAAATGAGTCATTAAGCTGGGGGAGTTTGACGTCTGGTATCAACCCCCAATCTCCATCAAGGTATAAGTCCTCGCTAATTTCATTGTCGAGTTTACTAGTTGAGAGATTTCCTAGGGGTTGCCTCAAAACCAAAACCTGATAACACCTGCTAAAACTTGGAAGTTGTATGTAGACGGATCATCCAATGCTCAGGGCAGGGATATGGGTTATGTTCACTAGCCTCGACGACCCTATTATTGAGCACGTGATTCGACTTAATTTTGGAGCCTTAAATAATGAAACTGAGCATGAATTGCTCATTTTAAGACTTGGCATGGGCAATCGACTGCTTGTCTATTGTGACTTGCCACTAGTTATAAACCAGGTGAATGGAGAGTATGAGGTCATGGACCCCCGGATGAAGGCTTATCACCAAAAGGCACAAATCCTGATGAAATGTTCAAAGAAATACATGTATGCCAAATCCCCAGAGATCACAACAGTCATGTAGATGTCTTGGCTCGCTTGATCGTGACCCTTTACTTGGTGATCACCCAAAAAATAACCGTGGAATACTTGTCATAATCCAACCTACTTGATTCAACATCGGCTGAAATCCTTCCAAACATATCAAGCAAAGCTAAGCCAAACTGGATGGACCCCATAGTGAAGTATCTAGAGATTGGGAGCTTCATGAGTGTCTTAGGAAAGTCAGAAAGGTTAGACTCATAACCTCAAGGTTTTGGGTTTCACCATATTGAAAGTTATACCAAAGGTCATTCTGAGGGTCATTTCTCTTGCACGTTGCTGAAGATAAAATTCATCCATTGTTATACGAAGTTCACAAAGGAATATGTGGAAACCACATGGGTGGTTGGTCTTTGGCTCATTAGGCCATATCTTCGGGATACTGATAGCCATACACGTAGAAGGATGACAAACAGTATGTGCAAAAATACCCAAGTGCTAAGCCTTCGCACCAATTATCTGACATCCGACAGGGGACCTCAATGCCTTTACCAGTCTGTGACCTTTTGTTTAGTGGGGGGTGGATATAGTTGGGCCCTTTCCAAAAGCCTACAATAGGCAATTCATTTGTCATTGTCTACTTCAGTTTTTCTGGGCTTAGCTTATTTGGTCCTAGACCTATCTTTAGTTAACGGCCTATCTCGTTTAAAAATTCTTACCATTGGATGGGGAAAGAAAAGTAGAAAGAAAGGAAAATGAAGAAAAAGAGGAAGAACTGAACATACTTACTAAAATAGACGCTCGGGTTGTCTTCGATAGGCAAGGAGTGCTTGATCTTACTAAGGTCTTTTGAGCTTCAAGGATTCAAACGGGGCCAAAGAGTGGGAAACCCCCTCTTATTTATACCCCCTTCAAGGCATTGGTTATTGGGAGGAATGGAACATTAAATGCAATTTAAAAAAATGGGCGATAGACGTAATGACTCCCACAAAGCGACGTGCATTAGTAGCCTTCAATCCCCTAATGCCACTTGGCCCATGTGTGAGAAATTGAAGGTTGAGGCAGTTGACATGACACAAAGCAACAATCATATCAGGACATAACACGTGGACATGAATAGTACTGCACTAAGAAAATGCATGGTGTCGAGGCCATGGAAAAATAGGTGATCCTGGACCCAAGCATTCAATGCTAGGTAGGTATGTGGGACCCCACGATGCTACATATTGCTACTGCAAGGAATGATTACCTGCAAAAACATGTCAAATTGAGTCACATGTCGAATATCAAAAAATTCAGATAAATGTGTGACCCTTGCTGATGTGGATTACTCAGGGGCGTTTGTATTTAATACTCGAAGCCAGTTCAAGGAATGTTCGGTGCAACTCAATGAATGTCCGACAAAGATCATTAAATGTTGAGGGAATGTACATTAAATGGTTAGTCTCCCGAGCAAAGCAATCATTATGAAGCTAGGTCCCGAGAAACCGCTCGACCTTCCCCAAACCAAGTAATTGCACGACTTGAGGGGGGGAGTAGCTATTGATTGATTGCCTCTTTGGAGGAGCTGCTAGCTGACTTGATGGGACCTTCGAAATGTCATGTCATCACACTTGAAGTACGACTTACTCAAGTTCAGACTAGGTTATGTGAGAGTAGGTGTGTGCTTGTGCAAGGGTATATTTGTCTACGAGTGTGCACGACGTTATCATATAATAGAATGGGTAGGTCACTCCATGGAGAGAGTTAGATAATTAACAAAATAATTCCCCCTAGAAAGGAAAAGAAAAATGTAAATGAAAAGATATAAAAGGTGATTCTCATCGAGAGACTATTTTCTATAAATATACGATACATAAAAATGTTTGCTACAACTTAAAAACTCTCAAGTAGCGTGCTTCACTTGCCTCGTGGACTTCAGAGATCCTTTTACATTACTATCTATAATTATTCATGATCAGAAAATAATTGGGAGATGGAACATATCTTTTCATTATATATACAGGCAACAATGATGTTACAACAAAAATACCAAATTAATGTTTCACCAGCATAGCTTCTAGTCTTCTTTTTCTAGCAGCATGTTTTAGTTTCTCCAATGCAATAAGGCCAACCAGCCTAACTCTTTCTCTGGACAAACCTATCCTGAAAAGGTAACATAGAATAACTTTGTCAAGGCAACAGAAATTGGAAAATGCATAGGTTTATTGAAACGAAGCATTTTGTACAGAAAGTAGCATTTCTGTGAAAAAGGAAAGAAAAATAGGACTTTACAATCTATCACTGACACACAATTTCAATCGAATATGTGGTTTAGTTTTTTTGTATCCATGCTTGAAACACTACTTAGAACCCTCGAATGTTCAACATAGTTTCCTAACTTCTGTATTTATCTATTTGAATCATCCCAACACCATGAAGAAAGGTTGTTACGGACTGAGGACCAGAGTTACACACACACACATGAAAATATAAGTGGCCATAGCTTTAACGTAAAGGAATGATAAAAACAACTCAAAGCATTTCTTAAAAAGAGGTAACTAAAACTGCCCCTTTGAGGCCAACATTTGTATCATTTACCCATGCCTATTACGAACAAGTGTGCAGTAATATATGGATTCACACCGTCTACTGATATCCTCCCAAGTTAGACATTCATTGTCCAGACCGTAGTAGAGACGAATAATATCTCTCTCCCGTTCCCTTAATGTCGTACTAATGAGCTTGTTCACTTCATCCTGCAGGATTATTTACTAACAGGGTCAATTGCTTTGCCACAGTGCAATAGTTTAGCAAAACAAGAAAAACAATAATCTAATTAAACAATTGGCATACAAGAGCAAGTTAGTACAATTTTGAAAACAGGGGTGGAGCCAGGAATTTAACTTAGGATGGGCCCTTAATTACATGCCGCAGTTATATCGATAAAAGTAATTTGATATGCTGATATTTATTTACAGAGCCCGATCGCAAGCAAACAAATGCCAATTTACATGCAAATTCCAAGTAATGTCACATTTGATTAAGAACACAAAACAAAAAAGGCAAAAAATATGCAAATCAATAAAATCTTAGAGACCCTAACACAATGAAAAAATACTAAACATTCAGTTACAAACCAAACACAACTTATATTCTCAAAAAATAAAAATAAAAAATCTTCGACCGTCGGGTTATTTTATTAGAAATTATAAAATGATTCCAGTTTGTTCAAAATTTGAACCTGTATGAATGGTGTCCATAAGGTGCCCATAGCCATTTAGGTATAGATCTATATGGTAGTAATAGGATGGGCACTGGAACATATATTTGAGGGTGTTTAATACATGTATATAAAAACATATATAAGTATAGTTTTTTCAAAATATTTGAGGATAGGCCAGGGACCACCCTGGGCGTAGGGTGACTCTGCCCATGTTCGCCACCAAAAGATTATGAGACGCTAATACTCTAAGTCTTCTTGAAAACCTATCTATGTTTTGCTAATTCATAAACACATGTAACAAGAAACAAAAAACTATATGCATAAAGCACGTTTTAGATCATAAGCCAACCCCCAAGGCACGAGTCACATTCCTTGTAAGAGCCTTACCCTTATATTAGGATTCCGTGCACATAGGATATCATTGATGTCCCATATGAGCCAAGTTCCTGGGGACATTATCCTTTAGTGACTCAGCATCTACCCTATGCACCACATGTTTTTCTTCCTGACCTTTTTGCTTGAACCAAGAAGGAAAAACGGTGTTAAGCAACAAAAAGAATTTTAGATACGTTTTCTTTTCCCAATAAAGAGCAGCCAATGTTAGATCCTTCTAGAACAAGGCATGCCACACACAATATATTTCAGAAGATGGTAAACTGGGTGAAGCTTTGTTTGATTGTATAACATTGCTCTTTATAATCCATCCACTCCGTAGTGACAAATAGCCTGTTTCTCTGGTAAGCTAAATCAGTTTTCTGTCAAAATCCACCATTTTAAGTGTGCAAATTTTATGATGTTGCTTCATTCTTATTACCTTGAGTGCCCATTCATCAACTCCATGCCATGGGTTGTTTTCGAGACAATTATCTGCAATATACTGGAGAGAAAAAAAGAGAGTCAATGAAAAAAGGTAGGATGAGATGACTACACTTATTTTCTCACCAATGGTAGCATGATAATTTAGTAGAGTCAAGTTGGTAGAATTAGGCTTACACTATGAAGTGTTTCTCCTGGAAGACCATTTAATGAAGGGAATGCTTCCCTATCAACGGAGAAGACCTTGTTGATTGCCTGCGTGGAGGGATCTTAGACATTGAACATGAAGATAATAAGGACAATTAAGGCAGAGTACATAGTTACAATAGGAATCTCCCTTATTTGGTACCTCAGTGGCATTCCTAACTTTCTTTTGTGACATGTTTAGACGTTCTGCTATTCTCTGAAACATCAAAGGAGAAGACTAGTCAATAGAACACAAGGGGCAATGAAACTAGGATATAACAATGCAAAACAATATAAATCCTGATCTTGATTTGGCATCACTATGATAATTATGGGTTAAGAATGTTTTCGGATGAACAAAGAGCAAGTAATTCTTCTCATTAAACAAAAAATTAAGCAGTTGGACTTACATCAATCGAGGGCATTATTCCTTTCTCTTCCAGTTTGGACTTTGCATTCCGAATTAAACTCAGTCTTTCAGCAAATGGTTTGGCAATCTTAAGGTTCTCAAATTATCAACTAATACTCTCGAAACACCCTGCCAAGAAAGAGAAATGGTTCATCCTCAGTTCTTACCCCATTGAGTGAGACATGAACATACTTAACTACTAAAATACACCACTTTTGGTTTGAGCTGGAAAAAAAGCATGTATTTGAAGCAGATAAAATACAATGAATCGAAGGTAATACAAATTAGTAAGTAAAAAAGTTCCATGAATATAAAGGAACAGCAAACTAATGCATTCAGCACTTAAACCGATATGTGGCACAGTCAGCTGTATGCATCTGCCATTTAAAACATAGAGCAACAAAACAACTTTTCTCAAACCGTTGATGGTTGCACCATAGTTACTCTTACATGCGACTAAGGAAAAAAGGAAGAGAACAGTGGACAAAGAGAGGGAAAAAGCCAGCAATATAGTCCAGGGGGGACAATCCATTATCAATAATATATGTTACATGACTCGGAGACATGGATTAATCTTTTTTTGAAGTGATTGTGTCTCTTAGACAATTGTCCCTAAATTTAAGCCTCCTTCGTGATTGTCAAATGATCCTCGGCACTGGGACCAAAACTAGTTTAACAAACATAGGCTTAAATTCTCCAAAACCAGACAAAACAAAAGAGAGCTAGTAGAGAAATGGATTACAGCGGAAAAAGAAGAACAAGAAAAAAGACATTGTAAATTGGACTTCCAAAGGCCAATCGATCTTCTAAAATGGGTTTACTTGATAACTCAAAGCAAATCCTTGTTGAATAGGTCATTTTAGGGCCATGTAACCAGTGGCATTTTGTTTTTTTTTTTTGTTTTTTTTTTTTTTTTTTTTTTTTTTTTTTGGGGGGGGGGGGGGGGGGGAGTGTGTATGATCCCCGAGCATTTGAAAGTACCATTAATCCCCTTTAACTTGTCACTTTTCTGAGAAATATTCACGTGATCCTTCTAGATTAATGATATTGTGTAGTGTGGTGCCCCCTAATTCATCTCTCTTCTGAAAAAAAGAAAACCGAAGCAAACAAATGCTCCCCTGAAATTCTGGCCCTACTTCTTCAAGTAACTAAACCCTTGTTGAAAAGAAAGTGTCCATGCACATAGTTTAAGCAAAAACTAATTGCCATACTGCCCACTAGTGGGTCTTAAACAAATCATCCTAAAAGATGAATGAATTTGATGGGTTTTCTTTAACTGCATGGCATGGAAAATAATTATCTCAAGTCCAGACTTAAATAACCATAATCGATTTTTCATTTCATTTTGGGTAGGACTATTTGTGGTATCTTTCGCAGCTTCTTGTTTCAGTTGTGAGAAAACCTGACCTCGTAAATTGTAACCTTGCCTAACACCAAAAGGTAAACATCTAGAAACATTGAAGATCATGCAGATTCATAAATTACAGGGGCTGTTGACATCTAACACATCACCACATGCTCAAAGTGTTCACATTTCAAGGAGAGCATTAACCGCACCTGACGTATCCACCAATAAACATAAGTGGAAATTTTGAACCCCTTTGAAGAATCAAATTTTTCAATCCCCCGGAGTAGTCCAATCAGGCCGCCCTATATGAGCAATAGAGGAAATACCTCAAATTAAGGGGAAGTAGTCACACTGAGCACACAAATACATAGGTGCAGGATATTAGCATCCCCAAGTTGAAGTCAAAGGGCAACTCACTTGAACAAGGTCAGCCATTTCAGCACCCATGTTTTCATATCTTTGTGCAATAGACATGACTAGACGAACTTGCTCATAGCCAGCTTTTCTCTTGCCAAAGAGCACTCAATCAGAGTTGATTGTAAATCAGCACGAGACATTCTCAAGGATCTTGCTAGTTGCTCCTCTGAAGGTTCACATCCTAATCTTCCTTTCAATCTGAAATTCCCATATTACAAGAATCATTCAAGCATGTTGATTATAGATTTTTTTTTCTTCAAATCGACAGGCATGCTCAAAAGAGGGAGGAGTAATAATGTAATATGGACACAGCAGTTGAAGAGGAGATAAAATATCTTTCCATGAGCTTTTACAAGTTCCAATTTCTAAATTGAAGGGGTTAATTGAAAATAATCCCTATATAAATTAGAATAAACCCAGTCAGGATCTAGTTGCCTTTTTATTTGTAAGGTCAAGAAATTTTTTGTGATTTATAAATACTTGGTGCCACTTCTTTGCAAATGATGACTAAGAAAGGAGTAATTTACAGCCCAAATCAAGTCATCAGTAGATCTTCAAACAAAAGGGAAGCAAGACAGAAAAAAAAAATTAAGAACTATGTAGTTCAGGCTTCAGACGCTAAGCAAATGACATTAAAAAAATTCTTACATTTGCAAAAGATGGATGCAATGTAAGTTCTTGTATTCTCCATATAAAATCAATCTTTTTCGAAATCAATATTTTTACTAGATCTTTTATATGTTGGCAAACTATATCCTGTGCTGTAAATACAAAAATATAGTTAAAATGCTTCATTTAATTATGTGAGCAACACAGAGAAGAAAAGAGATTTTACTTACCTTGATTTTTGCTCGTCTACGACAAGACCAGTTTTAATTTTTTTGGATAGTTGCACTACTTCAGCATGGGTGAGCAATTCTTCACTTATTACACCCTTCACATAACCTTTCAAATGAGTCTGAAGCAGCTCTGGGCTCATAATGGACCTGAGCTGTCTACTTGTACTAAGTTGCATAGTAGAAGTTTTTTGGCTCAGAATTTTTCTCCGCCTCCTAGCAGAGATCCCAGAACAAATGACCTGCATCTTCTTGTGAGTTTTTTCTCTTAATTTAGAAGTTACTATTGCCTGCTCAGTTGACAGATTCCACTGCTTTTCAAGCATTGACTTCTGTAACAAGAGGAGAGCCTCCAAAGAAAGTTCTGGATCAGGACTTTCTTCCTCCACATGGTTGAATCTCTGAAGGCGTGCCTCTACATTTGGAGGATCAGAAGCAGTATCTACATGTTCTTTTAGAGCTTTGATGGATTGTTTATGTCGATTGGAGAGAAAACTAGGGGTATAATGTGATGACTTCTTTGCAGTGATCACATTCTTCGTTGAAGCAACCTGATGGTGTGACAGTGGATGGTCGCAGCTGGAGGATAGCTTTTCTGTAAGATCAGAATAATAGAAGGAGGAACTCAAGAGCCTCTTCCCTACATTCAGTCCAATTACTGCAGCAGTGGCCATCCTAAGATTGCCTCTTGCTATGCAATAACATCACACGTGTCTAAGAAAGTTAGTGACCAAAAACATTATGCCACTATTTTCTGATTGCAATAGTCACCAGACCTTAACAGAAGGGCCGTCTAGGTCTCTAAAGATTGCTCCTTGATCGCCTGTTAACCCACTGAAATATACCCAGGAAGGAGAAGAAAATAAGAAATCATAGAGAGAATTTAGTCCAAGGATTTCTTTTTCCTTAAAAAAAAATATTCTTGACAAATTCGGTTTGAAGTGGTACATAAAGATCGTCCAGTTTCTGGCTCCAATATCATTTACTTTGACGGTGTATTGACATCATAAAATCATATTGGAGCCAGAGGATGGTTTAAACATGAAAGAGGTCCATATGAGCAGTGAAGGGGGACAAATATTGATGATACAATTGTTATGTTCTCTGCTTCTGTGGGGAACAATGCAAGGCAGGTGAGAAGGGAAAATAAGATTCAAAAATTAGCACAGGAAGCAAATGAAAGAAGCTACATCATAATTAGTATGTGGATGCAGTGCAGCAGCTAGGTGATGTGAGGACCATAAGTTGTGATATTAAGCTTTAAAATTATAAAACCAGGTGCTGCTACCCCTTGAGACTGGTGCTATTGGGAAATCGAATAGCAGAGGGAAGCAAGGACTGGGGTTGAGAGAGCTAGAGCCTCGGGACCTGAGCCATCCTATTCTGGGCCTTCTACTTCTGCCCCGGTTTGCACTCTGTCATGGTGCTTGGATGTTTTGGAGGGGTCTATGTATGGGCTGACCTTGATGATGACTCGGATCTTTCAGCATACCTTCCCGGACGAACCCATTCCCTATGGACCTCCTCCACCTCCACCTCCACCTCCAGCTGCCAGACCTGCTACCTTTGCTCCCTGACTTCTACGGTTGTTGAGGTGGAGGGCTCTGATTCCAAAGACAATGAGGAGAGTGATGATGAGATAGTTGAGGAGGAGATGGATGAGGACGACGAGTAGTTTTGTTGTGGTGTTGTTTGTTTGTTTCTTTTTCTTTTAGTTGTGCACAGTTAGGATTACAATTATCGGCCTAGTAGAAGCGTCTTAGGATTTTGGACCGTTTTGTTTTTGAATTCTAAATCCTTGTACTGAACTTTTGGATGTAATTAATGAAAGCATCACTGTTGTTCGTTTTATTTTGTCCAAGTCTATTTCTTCAATTGCATTGTGATTTTTGCATTTTGATTGTTGGCAACGTATGTGCGTAAATAGATTGTTGTAGTTTTATATTTTGCAATTTGAAAATAAGGTTTCCTAGGGACTAGAAAAACTCAAGTTGGGGGGTGTGATTAGTATAAAATATTGCACATCATGTATGCTTTTATACCTTTTTATACTTACTTTTGTGTTGAAAATGGGAAGAACTGCAATTAATCAAACATTTAATGAAGTTGTTGTGTGATTGTAGCTTAAGAGTTGGTTATGGTCTAAGTTAAGCCTCCACTGAAGTGCTCAAAGTCAATGGAGATGGGGGTGGCTTAATAGGAGGCTTGGAAGATGAAAAAACCAAGAAAAAAGCAAATCAAGAGAAAACCTTTTGGAAGATTTGGTCATCGACCTTCCGAAAGGTTTTGTTCATTGGAGTTGGTTCTATCGCAAAACCTTCTGGAAGGTTTTGCACACTGGAAGAAGATCTTCCGAAAGGTTTTCTTCGATCTTCTGGAAGGTTTTGCATACTAGAAAGCTTTTTCCTCTGCCCTTGCCAAAACCTTCCAGAAGGTTTTGTTTTGACCTTTTAGAAGGTTTTGCCCAGAAACACCAAACACCTACAACTCAAGCTTTGCCACTTAGGGGTCCCAACTACGATAATCCCACTTGTCCTCTGACATATTCTACATACATACATGCCTCGTTACACCCTAAAGTCAGTCTTGGAAGATGGACGATGGGAGAGGAGGAGAGAGAAGGAAGAAGGCACAGTGGGTGCAGACTAGGCTTGTCCTAGCCTGTCCAAGTCATCAACTCTACCCCCCATTGATGGGAGGCTTCTCACACAGGCTATAGGAGCTCCATGGACGAAAATTACACTACACCCTACCATTTTTACAACATTATTCAGCATATAGAGAGAGAAGCTTAAGGAAGAAGTTATAGTTTTAGAGAGAGAAGTTGGATTTTTTTATTTCTTTTACCCATTTCACTTGTAATTTGCTGTAAGACTTTTGTAATCCTTATTTATTGCACTTTAATGTCATTTATTTCAAGTGTATTTATTACATTTTAATGTCATTTATTTCAAGTGTATTGCAAGTTTAGCTAAGTATCTTTGAATCTACCATTGTTATATTTAAGTTTTTCACTTGAAACTTTTTAGTTGGGTATTAAATGCACATATCTTTGTAGTTTCACTTTTATTTACATTAATACAATTTTTAATCTTCATTTCTTCACAATGTCTTTTTACACATTGTATGTCTTTGTATTTAATATGAGTAACTAAGCTTTAAGTTGGTTAATCCAAGGGAGATTTTCTCTTGGGTATACTAAATCTACTCTTTTTCATTCCTCCTCGTAGTATAAGGTGGTTTGGTTTGACTAGATTGAGTGCGAACGTGGTTGTGAGCTCTTGAAACTTGTCACGAGGTATGCTTGAACCCTCACCTCCATTTTAGTCCCTCGCTTCCTAAGAATCAATCGAACACTTATGCACCATTGGAAGAATGTTTTGAGTTGATTTGGCATTCCCATTGGAATGACCTCTTCGGATTAGTCAACCTTGTTTCCATTACATTTCATCAAAAACACAACTCACCAAAACACAAATCCACAAGATTTTACACTTTTCATTTTTTTCACAAAATCACCTTCACACAATTCATCTTCCTTCCCTGAAGAGACGACCTTGTAATACTTAATTCCAAGTAAAACACGACAGTCGAAAGTCTCTCTATGCTTGGATAGCACTTTTGCACACAGACACACACATTTCATTCACACACACGTTTTCCCATTTCTTGCATGATATCCGAGGGAGAGTGACATTCACTTAACCGTATTAGCCATATGCACATTATCAGAATCATAGTCGAAGATTAGGGTGAATGAAATAACTCAAGCAAGTACTTGAGAAATGTGAAGAGAAAAATTTGGTCCTCAACTAGGAGAAGTGTCACTTCATGGTGACACAAGGAATAATGCTCAGGCACATTGTTTTGGAGAAAGGGATCGAAGCCGACAAATGCAAGGTGGAAGCAATTTTCAACCTCTCTACTCCGTAAGTCCTCAAATACATTAGGTCTTTTCTTGGCCATGCCGATTTTTACCGTCATTTTATAAAAGATATTAGTGTTTTGGCAAGATCCTTGACCAATGTGCTTTCAAAATATGTCTCATTTGTGTGGTCGGATGATTGTGAGGAATCATTTAAAAAATTTAAAAGCATGCTCACTTCACCTTCAATCATGCGACCACCCAAGTGAGACTTACCATTTGAGTTCATGTGCGACGCGATTGATTACGCGGTCATCGTTGTGCTTGGTCAACGGGAAGATAAGAGACCTTATGTAATATACTATGCTAGTAAAACTCTTAATGAAGCAAAAATGAAACACGACCACTAAAAAAAAGTTGTTAACCGTAGTATTTTCACTGGATAAATTTCGGTCTTACATCATTGGTTCGTCTATTCTAGTCTATAGTGATCACTCTGCTTTGAAGTATTTTTTTGTCTAAGCAAGATGCAAAATCAAGACTCATTAGGTGGATCCTCCTCCTACAAGAATTCAACTTGACAATCAAAGACAAAAAGGGAGTTGAAAACATAGTGGCAGACCATTTGTCCCGACTTGTAGTTCAAGAAGCTGAAGAACATATTCCTATCCTTGACTCTTTTCCTAATGAGTATCTATTTTTCATTCATTCTATTTGTCCTTGGTATGCTGACATTTGTAATTATCTTACTATAGGACAAATTCCACTACACTAGAGTTCGAAGGATAAATGGAGATTTATGGTGGATGTGAAATACTTTTACTTCGACAACCCGTACTTGTTCAAATACTACCCTAACCAAGTCATGAGGAGTGCGTACCTAAGAATGAATAACAGGACGTCCTTGCATTTTGCCATTTTGAAGCGTGCAATGGACACTTCTCTTCCAAAAAGACTTCGGCAAAAGTTTTATAACCCAGTTTTTATTGGTCATCTTTAATTAAAGATTGTGTTTCCTTTTATAAAGAATTTGATAGGTGCCAACGTTTGGGTAGTGTGACCCGTAGGAATATGATGTCTTTGTCCCTCGTGTTAGTAATTTAGATATTTGATTGTGGGGGCGTTGACTTCATGGGTCCATTCCCAATATCTTTTGGTTACCTCTATATTTTGTTGGCAGTGTACTACGTGTCCAAGTGGGTAGAGGTCATCCCAACCAAGACTAATGACCACCGGGTCGTGGTCAAGTTCCTGAAAAAAATATCTTTTCAAGGTTCGGGATGCCTCGTGCAATGATAAGTGACAGTGGTTCTCATTTCTATAATTGGCCATTTGCATTCTTAGTGCGTAAGTATGACATCACACACAAGGTGTCCACCGCTTATCACCCAAAAACCAATGGCCAAGCTGATTTGGCCAATGGGGAGATCAAGAACATCCTAGAGAAAACAGTGAACTCTAATAAGAAGGATTGGTTATTTAGGTTGACCGATGCCTTATGTGCTTACCGCACTGCTTACAAGACCATTCTAGGTATGTCAACCTATAGGCTAGTCTATGGCAAGACTTATCATTTGCCAGTTGAAATGGAGCACAAGGCCTATTGGGCCATAAAGACCTTAAATTTCAACTTGAGAATAGCCGAAGAGAATAGGAAGTTGGAGTTGAATGAGTTGGAGGAGATTCATAAAGAAGCATATGAGAACTCAAGATTTTCTAAAGAAAGGGCTAAGATTTTTCATGATAAATTCATTTTAAGGAAAACATTTAAGCTTGGATAAAAAATGCTCTTATATAATTCTCAACTTT